TGCATTACATTATATATGCTTGCAAATTTTTGTAAATGCTATTTCCTTTTACATTTATTTTCATGCACTTTTGTTGTTTCGTGCACTTTTTAAGTATTTTTCTTTAGTTAATGCATTTAGCAAGATAACCTTAAGATTATTTATTATATCCGGTCCAGACCAAGGGAAACAGGCTTTGCTTAGATCAAGTAAAACAAGCCTAGCTTTTAATTTATTAAGAGGATCTCTATATTATAGATAGTTTGGTACTAATTCTAAACAGCAAGATAATCACTAATACTAAAGATAAGACACTAATTTGCTAACTGCAAGGTAATCACTGTTTCTAAAGATAAGACACCAATTCTAAACTGCAAGAAACTGATTAACTGATTGAAATGTAAAACATGTTTCATCTTCAAAGAAAATATATGTTTTAAAATAAATTTTTGTATATATTTTATAAACTTACCAACTTATAATACTTTTGTGAAAATATGTATTTTCGATTTCATGGAGAAGACTTCCTGAGAGCGAAACTTTTATAAGCTGAAACTTCAAACCCGGGAAAATGTGTGTATACTTTATGAGTTCTATTTTGGAACTTTGAAAATCTACCCCATAATCCATCCATCCTAGGCTAAAATATTGCCTTTATGATGCATGAATTTCACACTTACATTAGTGTGTTACAAATATATATATAAAAAATGTTTAGCCATTAAAAGAATTTCTTACGAAAGATGTACAGTGTTCCATATAAAACTGCGAGGTGAATTTAAATTGATTTTATAATTTTTCTAATATTTACAATGAAAGAAGGAGACTACAACATTTATGTTAATTTTTAATTTTTTTTATTAAATGCAACCACTATATAATGTTTATTTTATGTTATTGACCGACTTCCTTGCGATCAACTTAAGTCCAATTCTTCTGAATTTCAAAACTTATTGTATTAGATTTCAGAATAATGTGTAAAATAATTGCTATGGTAAAAACCAACATTACCTAGCAGATGCGACTGTTAATGCTTCTGGTTTGCTATAAATCAACTAACAAACTTAAATTATCTTCTGTTTAAATTTCAAACGGTTCCTAATATTATCAATTACTTGATTTTTATTCAGTTATCTCCATCAGCTAAAGGTCTATTACATGCATTAATTCAGTAAAATATTTCTTGTAGGATAATAACACTCAAATAATTGCATATAAATAGTTATAAAACATTCGATATTTTTTTAACTAATTTCAAATGTTTTACTCATTCACCAGTTCATTTTCAAGACCATACACTACTGATTTTAAAATTTCATTTATAATTTGCCCAAAATTGTTAAATTTTCAAGTTCTTAATCTAAGCATTTGATATAAAAAAAGACTATTTATAGAGCTCTTTTTATAATCTGATCGCCTCTTTGTAAGAAATGTTTTCGAAATCCTGTACCTTAAGAAACTGAAAATTATTCCATATCAATATTGAAAAAGTTTTTTTTTGACATATTTGTTTTTTTGACATATAGGTTTTATTATAAATGTATTGTTTTCTCTGTTATGATAAAACAAGGAGACTCATTTTCATGGCATGATTGCATTTAATGAAATGAAGAAAATGCTTGGTATTTCTATATCTAATGTGATATAGCGCGAAAAATATTCTTCAACGTAGTGTTGAATGTGCAGTGAAATAATAATGCAGATGTGAAGAAGCTTTTGTGGCTGCCCCATGACTTCTCGCCAATTCTGACGGAACGACTTTAAATAAATTATCACTTCCGGATGATTGTTCGTAAGTAAAATTTAATTTGTTTGTAAACTTTTTGTCTCAATGACAACTACCAACTTACTTTTTGTTATTTTATTCCTCCATACTGTGGGTAGTGATAACTATACATGCTCATTTACATATCTGTTCTCATGCTTTGATCTAAATATATCGCCCTGATCGCAATATATCCTTTAATAATACCATATTTCCTATTCACAAATCAGTGACTTAAGAACTACAAATTTTTCAAAAGCAGCATATCTTTAGAATTCTCAGTAGACATGTTCCCATACATTTATTTTTATATTCACTACATTATTTATATTTACTAGATTATATCCTTAAAAATAATGCATAACGATAACATATGATGGCAGCATCCTTTTATTTGAAAAGTGATTCGATACAAAAATGAAAGGAATATATTGAGAATTGAGGCTAGTCGAGAGCTAGTCTTTATAATGATTTCATTGTTGTTGCATTAGCATAATTCTAAGAATATATTTAAAGCTTATTTATGTATAATATGTAAAATGTTATATTCAATTAACATACCTATTTCAAAAATTAAATTTCAAAAGTTTTGCATTATCTCATGGTATATTTTTTGCGAAAGTCTGTTCAAAGATTCAAGTAAAGCATCCCTTCCGATTTATCAATTTTAGTCAAAATCTAAAATAAAATGCACTGAAATAAAAGTACTAAAACTGAAAAGTTTTGGATTATTAGCCCAAAGAAGCTTTAACTCAGAAGGGCTATTAATTTCGTTTTGGCATCTTGCTTCGATTCATTTTCTGCGTTGATTCACTTTTCAAACTGTTCCCATTAAATATTACAGCCATGTATTATATTTAAAGAAAATTAAATAATGAAGAATTTGCATAAATGTATGTATGTTTCTCGCATTGTGATAAAACAACGGTACCTAGAGCCATCAAATTTTGAGTAAGGTAATCCTCCTCCGAATATGGGCATCTGAAAGCCCTAATTTGGAATTTGTTTTATTATTTATTTCATATTTTGTCAGATATTAAAGAATTTTTGATTAGCAAACTCAATGATTTCAAAGCGAGGAATGGCAACACTGTAAGGGAAAAAAATTATCTCCAACTCGCGAGACCGTGTATCGGAAGTTCTAAAGATATGCTCATTTTAAAATTATTTTGAGATATTGCTGTTGAATTGAATTTTATGGCTTAAGTGCAACGAACATAATATTTAATATATAAAGGTAACACACAAAACCTTAAAAAAGCGCCCATTTGGGCGTAATGTAAAATCTGAAAAATCTGAAAGCTTTCAGATTTTTTTTTTTTTTTAATATTTTGTTTGATAATGATTTTTCTAAAAACTGTTACACATTTCAAATAAAAAACCACTTTTTTTTATCATTAAAGACAGTTATGGGCTGTCTATAAAATACCAGTTCCGATTTTCGAATTTTACCCAAAATCAAACTAATTCTTTACATGAATTTAGAAACCTTAAATACGAAAAACAGAAAGTTTTGTATTAGAATTGTTGTTGACAAAAAACGTCATACGGAAACAGACACATAGATAGACAAACATCATTATAAAAATAACGAAAATGTGTTGTGAGGATATCCACTCGTGCTCACGGAAAAAATTACATTCGAATTTTGGGTCCTCCCTTACCTATGTATATAGGGTGGTTAGTAGCAAAAATAGTGAGAGCTTTTTTTTTTTTTTCCCTTTAGGAAGCCGTGTCTTATTCACGGCTTCCCAAAAGAGAGTAAGCAGACCTTTATGGGCTTCAAGAAAAGTATCACTTCCGATTGTCCAGTTTTACTCAAAAACCTAATCAACTCTTTATATGCATGTAGAAAGCTTAAATAGAGGAAATGGAAATTTTTGAAAATTCGTATAAGAGTTATCGTAGAAAAAGAATCATCACAGACGTACACACCGATACACGGACAGACAGACAGACATTAACCAAAAAATATTAAAAACATGATGTTTTTAATATATGGTGGTTATCCACTGAAAACTTATTATCTAATTTTTTACCTAAAATATTACTTCCGTTACTAATGTATATGGGTTCGTCGGAGGTAAAAAACAAAAGGAATTTAAAATTAGAGATGGGATATTCACTCATCGAATCCCGCAGATCGTGCGTAATACTTGAGATACGAAAATTCAAACCTTTACGCCTCTCTCGTCATTCGATTTTTTCTAATCCTAACCTAAAAAATCGTTACTAATTCAAAACCGGCTTCAAATAAAAGAATTCATTTCTCTGGCCATCAAATAGAAACATTCGTTGGAAAAAGTGCGGTTGTTACAATTTCGGTGGTCTTAAACCACTAATTTTACCTCCTTTTCATCCTGAGTTCCACAATTTTAAAGATAATTAAGAATTTAATCTTTAATATTTTGTGTCCGATATTTAATTTTTGTCTGTAGTAACTCCTTTTTCCCTTTATACGTGTTTTGATTTAAAAAGATACTGGAAGAAAAATACTTAAATAATCTTTACTCAAATATTTTTGCAAATTTGCGTTGTGGCAAACGAATCTTAAGGTGCGAGAGTTTTATATGATTACTTAATTTACTATACTGCATTTGTATTTTTAATAAATGTAGGGGGATTTTTAAAATTGTATTCATTAATTTGTTTTCTATTAAAAGCAGATTTTAATTTTGTTTAATTTGAATCTTTTTCCTTTTTTTCTTCTTAGTATTTTTATATAAAATATTCAATAGAACCAGGTTCAAAAGTTTCGAAAGTTTTAAGAACCTTTCAGGAATCGGATTCGGGAAAAGCTAAGGATTCATCCCATGTTTAATATTACTCTGATGGTTTCTCTTCTCATTTTATGCACAAAATGTGCATTTTTGCATTGAGCGACCAGTTGCATCAAAAGATGAGAGTTGAAGGGAGCTTTATTATGCATTGCAAATGCAAGACAAATTCCAACTTAGAAAAGGAATAATGAGCAAATGCATATGCATCTATTGCAAATCTGATTTCTTTTACCAAATGCTTGCAAACTTTGGTTGAAATCAATAGGAATTAAAATTCCTTCAGATGAGCAAGTTAGTTCTGCAGAGAATCAGATTTGCATAGCCTACAGCGACAAATAGTTCAAAATGAACCTAAGATTAAATTAAAGGTCACTGTGAGACGTCTGTTCCCACGTGCGGACAGGCGCCATCTTGAAAAATCGGAGACCATATCGATCGTTGTGACGTCACAAGCTCTCGTTGCCTTTTCGGTAAGGAGCACTTCTCCATCAGTGTCTCTCTCCTTCGTCTCCTGTGTCTATCCTATCCTGCGCTTGATTTTCCCTGGAACGATTGTTGCTCGATTATTTATTGTTAGCCCGAAACTATTGCAAGAAAAATGACTGGGCTTAGCACCCTCTCCATTTTGAAACTCTGCATCGCTCTGATAGCTCTGAATTTTGCATTTGCCTTGCCCAGAGGTAAGTCCTCTTGATGTTACGGACATCTCAAAAGCTTTTCTTTTCTTGCTCCTGTATAAGATTTTGATGTATTAAAGATTATCTTCTCTTGTCAAAAGTAGATTTTCCATGTTCCAAAAAAATTGCTGATTGTATTCTTATGAGGAGGAAAATCACTTTTTATAAAGCTCTAAACAATCCAAAAAAATTTCTTAAGGAAGCCACCGGAATGTTTACTTGGCACTATTCTTTACTACGCAATTACCTTTTTGCTTTTGCGTTTGTAATTGGCACAAAAAATAAGTTGCTCGTTTATATTCTAATAAATGCAAAGCGAAGAATATTATAGCAAACAGCAAGTAAAGAATTCCGAAAATGTAAATGAAAGAAATATGAATTAATTCATAATATGATATAAGACTTGTAATTGACTAAAATACTTACTAAAAAAGCTAGTAGTCTGAATCAGTAAATCACTCTGATGACTAAAAATTTACCAATTTCAGTTTTAACGATGACTAGTAATTTGACAATTAGGATTTTTGATAATTAATAATTTACTGAGTTTAAATTTAGTTAGAATTTTTCGCGACTTTTTTATTTATTTATTATTTTTTTTATTTTTTTATTTCATTACCTTATAGTTATATGAAAATTGTTATGAGACTAAAAAATCCTGCATAGTTTTTATTGGCATGATTTTACTTAGAAAACCCATGTATAGCCACACATATTCTTTCACCATAAATTCATTCGTATGACACATTCATAAATTTATTCTTTAGAATATCGTTAAGTATTTGCTTATACTTATTGTGCAAATACTTATTGCGGTTTCTAATTATTTCAATTATTTCCTTTCTATGGATTTTGTGTTAAAAATTTCTTTAAAAATTTAGAAATTCTCGAAAACATCTTTTACATACAATTAATAAAAAAATTAATTTTGCGCTCAAGAAGGTTACCTTAAAAGGTTACTTTTACTGAAATAATAGTAGATATAAATGAGTTATTAAAAATATGAAAAATAATTCATTTACATAATTTATTTTCTAAATGTTTCTAATTAGGTACAATAAGTTGGAAATGCTTAAAGAACACTTAATTTATGTGCTTGGTATTGAAGTTACTGTAGGTTTTATTATTATATTAAGTGGCATTATAAACGCTTTATATATTAATTGAAGAATAAACACCAAGTCTTGATTAGTGTAAAAGCAATATTAATAACACTGTTAATTCAAATAATTTATTTTCAAAAATCACCTAATATGCATGTGTCAAGAGAAATGTTAACTCTATGGGAAGTCCAATTACAGGTTTTATATTTTATATAAAAAGACAGTTTGTTTTTCAACGTCAGGTCATTAAATTATTTCTTTTTCTAAAGTATTTGTTACTTTCGTTAAAACAAGGATAGCCTTACTATTGATTGTAATTCCTGCAATATAAAAAAATTGCAGATTTTTTTATCTCGCAATTTAATAAACAAAGTATAAAGTTGTTTTCGCAAAATCGTGATTTGTTTTTGGATCTCAGTTATATACTTTTAAAGTTTTGTTAATAAATTTTTATTGACCTAACAATAAGTTCACGCTGAAGAAAAAATTTGTATTGTAATGCTAATTACTTTTTTTAACATTTTTCTACACGTTACTCATTTGTCGGTAATCTTGCGTAAAAATGAAAGGAAAGTTTTTTTAAGCATATCTGTCAAGATTACCCGTGATTTGGTTTGAAAAAGTTATTAAGACAAAATCATATGGGAAAACTAAAAATTTCTTTATTTATGTTTGCAGTCATAGTTTAGTTCAAATTTACTAAACGGCTAATATTTTACTTTTAAGTATATTACACTAAATATGTTTTCAAAATTTAATTTTAATTTAAAAGGTGTTCGGTAGAAATATTTCTAATAAAGTTCATTACATTATTTGAAGAAATTTCTATAATTTTAGTTAATCACTGTTCTTCCTACATTACCATTATGATAATAAAAGATAATACAGAGGCTCGAGACTTTTCAACATTAGAAACTTTCCTAGTATTCACTATGTATGCTGATTTACTCTATTTTTTTTCTTTAATGAGTTCTCTCATTAAACGCCATTACGAAGACCATTTCGATGCTCTTGAAACTCGTAGTTAGTAAAAGATAAATTTTGTAATAGTATATGAATTTGATTTTTAAAAAATTCTTAAGGAGGAACATTCTTTCTTGTAAACTGAGCTGTGGAAATACGAATAAAATTTTAATTTGAAAATTTTCTCTTCCATTTCCATTCTCATCCATCTGTCCTTTGGCTTCTCTTCCATTTCCATTCTCATTCATCTCTCCCTTTGCTTCTCTTCCATTTAATGTTAAATTACATGTTTATGTTAACATATTGTTATACGTTTTTCTCAAGAAAACTAGTTTTATCATTTAAAAAAATTGTACAAGTAAAATATGCACTTTTATAGAATTTTGTTTTTCACAATTTGTTGCAGGCCCTGCTTACCAAGCTAAAGAGAACAGAATTGAGGCCAATGATGTAAGTAAAAAAATCTTTCATTTTCTTTCTTTCCCTCACATTTTACTTAAGTTATTCCTCTTCTATTTCCACCTTACATTATGATAATAATTTTATCAGTAAACTAAACTGAAGTTTCGAAACACTCTTCATCTATCATTTCGTGTATTTGACAAATACTTTTCAAACAAGTATAATAGTTATATATTCTATTACGGACTATTCTATAGAAGTCTTTAAAGTCTTCGTTAATACAGATATCTGGTTTTTCTTGTTTTATTATTTATTTATTAGCTCTAAGGGCGTTAGCCCGGAAGGGCTATTAATTTCGTTTTGCCATTTTGTGTTGAAAACTTTAAATGTCGGTTCACTTTTCAAATTGTTGCCACCAAATACTATCGCTCTGTGTTATATTTAAAGAAATTAAATAATGAAGAATCTCTATAAATGTATGTATGTTTCTCGCATTGTTAAAACAACGGTACCTAGAGCCATCAAATTTTGAATAACTTAATCTTCTACAGAATATGGGCTGGGCATCTGGAAGCCCTAATTTGGAATTTGAAATTTGTTTTATTACTTATTTCTTATTCTGTAACACTTCAACGAATTTTTGATTAACAGACTCAACAGTTTCAAAGCGAGCAATGGCAAAACTATACGGGGAAAAAAAAAAGACAAAAAATATCTCCAGCGTGCGAGACTGTGTATCGGAAATTCTAAAGATATGCTCATTATTATTTTGCGATATTCCTGTTGAAATGAATTTTATGGTTCAATTGCAAAGAATATTTAAGAAGCTTTTAAGAAGCTTTCATAAGCTTTTAATTTTAAGAATATTTTAAAATTCTCAAGTTCATGCAACATTTTCAAATGTCTCAAATAAATTTAAAACTTGTGAGATCACCAGTGCAAACTTTTAGGAAGTTTCAGTACGAAAAAATGAAAATGGTCAAAAACCTAAATAATTTAAAAAGAAATTAAACTTCTGTCTGTTTTTTTAAATAATTCATTTGTCGATTGAATATATATTTCTTCAATTTACTTTATGTAACGAACTGATTGCGTTTGTTTGAATCCTGTTAACAGACTAAATTTCTTCGCCTATTGAAAACAACGTGTACCCAGGGCTGTTAGATTAAAATTTCGATTTCAACCTAGAAAACAAAGGTCAAGAAAAAAGGCAGGCAAATTTAACTGTATTTTTACACTTACGCCATATGGGATGTTCAGGATCTAGACAATCAATCTCTATTATTCTTATAAAAATCAGCAAATCTGCGACATTAAAATTTGGGAGTGCTTTATCGTTTCTTAAGGTACAGTGAAATCTTAGGCTACTGCCTGACATCAATCGTTCTGCAATATTCTCATCAAAGTGCTTTTTCTTTGTTTCTATTGTTTTAACTAAGAACTCAAGGAAGAATATCATCTAAGTCTTTGCAAATTGGGGTTATTAGACTAATAAAAGATTTTATAAAAATTTCATTCGCGCTCTATATCATGTTCATGCAATAAATGTACTGGTCGTGTAGCAAATATAATGGACGGTTTCTTCTGAAAGCTATATAAAAAATGGTTTCTAAACTTTCATTAAATACTTCATCCTACTGGTTGAATTTTTTCCAAAGGTTGAATTTTTTCCATCGAAATGTTTTTAAATTAGCTTTTTACCTAACGAAAAACGACTTCGATAGACATACAGACACATCATAAGATAAACGTCACAAAGCATCCAGTGTTGCTGACTCAGATTGGAATGGTGAAACGCTGTATTCGATGCTTTCTCATAAGTTTCTCGTTATTTAAAAATATCATTAGACAAAAAAGCATTAAGTGTACCTGATGTACAAAACACCATAGCTTAAATCTTGCCTCTCTTCAAAGTTCTATTTGCATTAGCCTTGTGAAAATTTATTTAACATCAAGCCTAATTTTAAGAAAAATACTATACAGTTTAATAATCCTGTACTGAAAGTAAAAAGAAGGTGTTAAACAGTATTTAAAACTTAGCTAAAACAACATGAGGCCCGAAAGACTACATTAGAGCTTAAATCAATGGCTGCATGGCACAGTGGAAATTATATCGCCTGTTTATTTAAATAAAATTCAATAAAGCTGGAAAAAACGCTCTGAGGAATCTACACTTGGTGTTTAAGACGAGATACTACTATTCGAAAAAATAGGAAATGTTATCGTATATTTATTCCCATTTAAGAGTGCTCGAAAAAGCTGATTAGGAGGTTTCATTATTTAGGTTATTAAACTATTCATTATGCTGTAATAAATTAAATAAAAAAATATATCTATACCTTTATAGGAAAAATTCATGGAGGCATTAAAGAACATATTAGCTGAGTAAAAACATTATTCAATGTATGCTTTCGACAAAAATGAAATATTTCTTGAAATTTATGGCAACTTTAAGACGCAACTCTGAAGCAATTGCTTCTTCTAGCAGTTATTAGTTACGTATTGAATAAAAAAGCAATAGGTATTAAATTTATAGTGGACTTCGAGAAAATGTTAATTTTGATTACTTTCTAAGTCAATAAATTTATTTTTAGTATAATTTGACGGATTTTAAACTTTACACTTAATGTACTAAGCTTGGTCATTATCATACTAAGTGGAAATGTTGTTTTGTTGAAACTATATAAAAAGTTATACGTTTGATTTACGGAACTATTTATCTCCCTTCTCAGAGCAGAATGTTTCTCATAAAAGTTTCTATGTTATTTTGGGCGATATTGACACGAAACTATAGAAATATATAACTAGGATCAGTGTTAAAAAAGATGAAGCTTTTATGCTCTTTCTGAGAGCAATCTTTGTATTCATTTATAACGTTTATCAACACTTTGCCTTAACCTGCAAATTCTGGACAGGTGATAACTAGCGCACATTGCTATCTTAGAAAATAAAAAAATTAAAAATTCTAGTTATTGTTTCTAGACTATTTTGTTTTTCGGAGCCGGAAAACTTGTAGAATCAACTATGCTCTCTTCGAGGTTCAAACCACACATCTTTTATTTACTATCCTGAAGTTCTAACGAAGCACACTGCACACAAATAGAGTAAGTAAAAAAATAAATATAAAAACGTAATCCTAAACAGGCATAACAGCACACTTCAAAAAATCTGAAAGCTTTCAGATTTTATATTACGCCTAAAGGGGCGTCATTTTGAAAAGTGATAAAGACACTCGAAGTAATTCGACTCAAAATACCTTCGACTCAAAATACCGTTAGACAATGTAACGTTTTAGCGTTGCTACGCTGCCAACATAATACCAGTAAGAAATGCAAAGAAACCTTGCGCATAAAATATGCATGCTTGAAGATTCACGCGATGTTAATGTGAATGGAACGCTTTGAAATCGTTGAGTTTGTTAATCGAAAATTCATTAAAGTTTTAAAAATACACTACTGTACATTGAAAATATAACAGCAAGAAGGAGTGGCCCGAAATTATGAAACTCAGCAAACAGAGAGAGACAGCAAGGAACAATTAAATAATCTTTATTTCTAAATGATATGCATAACACAGAGCGAAAATAGCATTATTTCAGGAGGTTTTAGGACCACCTTGGACAGCGATAGACGACTTGGCCTCTCCTTCTTGCTGTTGTATTTTCAATGTCGAGTAGTGTATTTTTTAAAACTTTAACGAATTTTTGATTAACAAACTCAACGATTTCAAAGCGCTTCATTCACATTAACATCGCGTGCATCTTCAATCATGGATATTTTATGCGCAAGGTTTCTTTGCATTTCTTGCTGGTATTATGTTGGCAGCGTAGCAACGCTAAAACGTTACATTGTCTAACGGTATTTTGAGTCGAATGACTCGAATGAGTGTCTGTATCACTTTTCAAAACGACGTCCCTTTGGGCGTAATATAAAATCTGAAATCTTTCAGATTTTTTGAAGTGTGCTATTGTACCTGTTTTCGATTACTTGGTAGATTCAATGAGGCTACGGATGGTGTCCTGAGGAATGGCTCTCCATTCCCTGTCAACTTTCAGACGAACTGAAGACCATCAGTTCATCTTCTGAAAGTGGCAATGGCAGGATCTGCAAATGGTGTCCAATCACATCGCAGACGTGTTCAATTGGTGCAAGATCAGGAGAGAAAGGTGGCCAGGGAAGTATCTGCACAGCTTGCAGAGAACGTCAGCTGATGCGAGCAGTGTGTGGTCGGGCGTTATCTTGCTGATAAAGGGCACTTGGCACTCCCTGAAAGAAGGAAATTGTCACCGGCCGCAGCACATCATCCATGTATCATTGCACCGTCATAGTACCCTGAATGCAAACTAGAGGTGACATGGAATCGTACGCTATTGTGCCTTAAACCATGATGCCACGTTGTCGCGCTGTGGGACGTTCCACAATTGCTGCCGGATTGGACCTGTCTCCACATCGACGCCACACTCTTAAGCAGCAATTATCATTGGAGAAACAGAAGTGTGACTTATCTGAGAACACAACCCTGTGCAATTCCTTCGTTCACATTGCTCGATCCCGGCACCATTGCCGACATCAGCGTTTATGATGTGGGGTCGATGGCAGTCTTCTTAACGTACGACTCGAGTGCAGGCCACTAGCCACCAATCAATGCAAATGGTTCTGGTCGATATGGGACCATCCAGGGTGTCTTGAACATGCTTCGGAATGGAGATAGATGTGGCTAGTGGATGCGCCACCGCTTTTCGGCCGTCGCGTCGATCCACGCGTGTTGACGTCGTTCTGTCTGCACTAAAACCCCTCGAACTTGCCACATTTCCTTGGTCCAACCATCGTTGCCACAGTCTGTGCACTGTAGACGCATCTAGGTGTGTGTCAGCTGAGATTTGCCGTATAAACCAACCTGTCCTTCTCCGTCCGATCACTATGTCCTTTGTAAAATCGTCTGTCTGCTGGAACTGCCTTCATTGATGACGGCCTGGCATTTTCTGCTATTACACTCGTCCTCTGAGGCAAGAATAAATTTTCTACGATGATTTCCCTAGCAGAAATAAC